CCTGCTTAATGATATCCCTCATTACTGAGACGCATTCATGAACCAAAGTGGAAAAGTTAATTTAATCATGTGTCCTTAAAAGCGTTGTTCCCAAATATCCTTGCGCCGATTTTGCTGAATTTTGGCAGAGTTGTTTATTGGGCTAATAATAGTTAACATAACAAGAACATAATTACGAATTCCATCTTTCAGTGCACTCTCGCGAATAGTATTGACAAAAAAATTAACAGTTGCTTTTGATAAAACTCCAAAACAGATGGAGCTCTATCGCTACTTAAAGAGCAAACTGAATGAAAGGATCGCGCAAGGTGAAAGTAACCTCAGAATTAAATATTTCAATGGGGTTCCGAAGCTTGTTACTTTAAACGCATAACTGAACCCAATAACAGACCAATTTGTCATGAGAGACTTAAGCTAAGGTGCTCCTACCAGAACGTTCGTGGTCTCAACTCTAAGACGGTGTCATTCTTCAATGCAGTCAGTGACTACGAATTTGATTTAATTTGCTTGACTGAGACGTGGCTGTCTGTGAATGTGAGTGATAGTGAATTATTTCCGGCTGAATACTGTGTGTTCAGATGTGATCGTGACTTTATTCAATCTGGCCTAGTTTCCGGCAGAGGAGTCCTGATAGCCATAAAACGCGATTTCCATGCAATTAGAATTGACGCTAGTGCTTTGAGTCGAAACTTTCCGTCGATTGATACTGTATGTATTAGGCTTATTATTAACCATGAGCATTTTGTTATCTTTTCTATTTATATTCCGCCCTCAATTAATTTGGATATGTTTGGTCAGTACCTTGAAGCTTTGGAAGTATTTAACAATGCATTCAGTAATTGTAAAATAATTGTTGCTGGTGACTTTAATGTCGCATCATTGAACAGTGACGTGAATGATCAGAAGTCTCAATTAATGAGCAACTTTATTTCGTTTTTAGATTTAACTAATTTTAATAATATTCCAAATATAAATGGTCGAATACTGGATTTAATTTTAGGAAATATCGAAATAGAAGTCCTCAGAGATAGTACACCTTCTGTTAAAGAGGACGTTCATCATCCTGCACTGATCATGGAATTCATTACATCCGGATCTCCAACGAAATTCCCATTTACTAATTCTCCACGGTTTAACTTTCGCAAAGCTAACTTTCCTGAAATGTACATAGCCTTGCAAGATGTTAATTGGACGGAGGTGATCAGTGCAGTTAATGTTGATGTCGCTTGTACCGCCTTGTATTCAGTTACCAATAACATCTTTGAGGTCCATGTCCCTAAATGTAAAAATAAAATGTTTTCGTATCCCCCATGGTTCACACGTGAAATTATACTTAATATCAAGAAGAAGGACATAGCAAGAAGGAACTGGAAACGTGACGGTACTAAGTTTTCTTATGATCAGTTCAGTAATTTTAGGAAGCTCATTAAGAACCAGATCAGTGTTGCCTACTCCGCTTACGTCCAATAGGTTGAGGATGCCATTGTCAATGATCCTAGCAAATTCTGGTCATTTGCCCAGATCAAAAAACAGCAATCTAGAATCCCCCCAAGGATGACGCTTAACGGCAATGTCTGCGATACGCCTCAGGATATAGTGGACAGTTTTGCTACCTTCTTTTCAACAGTTTTTATCCCGTATGGTCTACTAGGGTCATCTCCTCCAACAAATAATTCTACCGATATCATTTCTTTAAAAAATATAAGTGAAGAAAACGTAATTAGGGTTTCGAAAAGATTAAAGAACAAAATGACGTCTGGATGTGATGGTATTCCAAGTTTTTTCGTTAAAGATTGCATTCATATACTAGCGAAACAACTGGCTTCCATATTCAACCTAATTCTAAAAGCAGAGACATATCCAAATATCTGGAAGACCTCTAAAATATGTCCTATTCACAAAAGTGGAGATATCTCTGATATTTCCAACTATCGCCAAATAGCAATCCTGTGCAATTTCAGCAAGTTGTTTGAGATCATCTCTTATGAAACGGTTTACTGCTCGGTCAGGGGTGCAGCCTCTATTAATCAGCATGGGTTTATGAGAGGCAGATCTACGGTCACCAACTTGGCTCTGATTACTCAGTACATTTCTGAAGTACTGGACGGTCAGGGACAAGTTGATGTCATCTACACAGATATTCAGAAGGCGTTTGATCAAGTTGATCATTATGCATTTCTGGATAAGCTTAAAACAGTGGGTATCTCTGATGCAATGCTGTCGCTCATGAATTCATATTTGGGGGATAGAAGGTTATTTGTCGAATATGGTGGTCATAGGTCGAGTTACTATCGGACCACGTCTGGGGTGCCTCAAGGGTCAAATCTAGGTCCATTATTGTTTTTAATATTTATTAATGACTTGTTTTTTGAACTGAAGTGTTTCCATTTGTTTTTCGCTGATGACCTTAAAATCTGCACGTCAGTCAAGACAGTCGAGGATTGCGTCATGTTGCAAGATGACTTAGCTCTAATTTCGTCATGGTGTTCACGAAACTGTCTCAGTCTGAATGTTTCGAAATGTAAAGTTATGACTTATACAAGAAAAGTTAACTATTTAATTTATGATAATTATAACATCAATGGTCAGGTTATAGACAGATGCACCTCTTATAGAGACCTTGGAGTCATTTTTGATACCAAGCTAATGTTTACTGAGCATATACTCAATATCTCGTCGGCTGCCACTCGACTACTTGGTTTCTGTATCAGAAACTGGAAGGGTTTCTCCAATGTTGATACATTAATGACTTTATTTTTTACTTTTGTCAGGAGCAAGTTGGAGTATGCGACTCTGATCTGGTCTCCTATATACCAACATTCTGTCGTGATCCTTGAGGCCATTCAACGTAAAGCTTTAAAGTATTTTCACCTTAAATGCACAGGTTCTTATCCAGAAAGAGGTTGTGACCATAGTGCCCTATTAGAGCTTTTCAATTTGGATTCACTGTCAACAAGACGAAACATATTTGCTTTGTCGTTTTTGTATGGCCTCATTCACAATAAAATTGACTGTCAAAATTTTCTTGAAAAAATATGTTTCCGCGTTCCAAGGCTAGGGAGTCGACAACAAACGGCATTCTATTGTCAAGCTGGCCGTACAAATGTTATGACAAAATCGCCAATTAACCTCACGTGATGCGTCATGAACAGTGTTACTGAATCGTGTGATATTTACAGTGACAGTTGTGCATCGATTATTAACTCCTATAGATCATCCAATCTTATTTAGAATGTGTGATACTATAGATTTAAGTCCAAGAACCATGTCTCTTTAATTGTTATTCTTTTCAGCGTTTCCTCTAATTGGGTTTCACCTGTTGGAAGTAAATAAATAAATAAATAAATAACGCCACTGACTTTTCAAGACAAGATATGTTAATTTCTGTTTCAGTAGCTACAAACGATTCCGTAACCTCTCGACAAGTTCTTAAAATATGATTTGATTGATAGACAATATTTACCCATAGGCCATTTTCAAAATGTAGTGAATGAAAAGTAACAATTTGTCAAAATATTTACAAAAAAAAAACTGGGAAACGACCACCTCCCGCGCCTATGCAGGCTTCTGCTTTCGTATTTTAAAAATTTACTTTTATTTTGCTCTTCGACTACGGAGTAAGATCCAACCAGATACCAAAAAAGTTGTATCATTAGCTGATTGATCCAAAAAAATATGTATTTTTATAAAAAGTCAGTGATGTACATTTTTTGCCAATACTATATGCGAAACTGCCCTATGAGACGCCACTCAAATTCATAATTATCTTATAGTTAGTGCTAGCTTAGAGTCTTATAACAATAAATAACCGCCAAAATTCAATAAAATCGGCACAAAGGTTTTTGTGAAAATTTTTATGAAATTTTGACACCCTGTATCTTGCAAATCAGACTTATTAGGACTCATGTTTATGTGTACTTCTTTACTTAGATTTGGTTCAGGAACGCGTTCTTGTAATAACGGTCCATTACTAAGTATCATCCTATATAGACCAATGAATCCATCCCATCAATCGACCGTGTATGCTAGAAGCTGGGTCAAATGCTTTCAGTTATTTTTTTTTCAAGGTTTCGATCCCGGTCTTTGAACTGAGACCTCAAATTCATTTACGGTTTCTTTTAATTCCGATTCCCTTTGATTCTGATTTCCGTAATTCCAAAACATACCATTGGTGTCAGTTATCCCTGAAAAGAATCGACTACGAAGTAGGAATCGATTATCGATTCCCATGGTGTCGATTCCACAACCTGAACTGGATAACGTCGGGAACTGTTTTTGAAAGGCTCGCACATATTAGAAATCATGAGATGTGGGTACATTTATCCATTGGACGGTGACGGGGATTGTAGCATAAACCAGGCTGGAGCAAGGTTTCCTGGCAAGTAGTAGCTTCAGATTTAAACTTGAAAGAGTTAGTGCCTTGTTGATCGGTATTGGAGGTAACACTCAGTCCACCGCAGTGTTTGAGTAAAAATGATTTTGCTGCTTGAAATTCTATAAAATGTCTTTCTTATGTCCTTTCTTTACCTATTTTTCAACTTAGTGCGAGGACCCGCAGTGCGGTAGCGGCAATGTTCAAAACCTTCCAAACCACCAAGGCCTTGAGCGCTGGTATCATAATGGTCGAATCTAGTTTCAGGAATCAGAACCACCAGAATCGGAGTCGAAACTATGGTAATCGATTCCTTCGAGATGATTGCTTCAATTCCCTCTACGGTATCGTTGCTTTGGAACATCTCGTTTATAACTCATCCAGCTGTAGTGCATACGTTTTTGCGCAGCCCACTACTAGTAACTCTATGTCGTACCCGTCTATATCAACTTGCAAAAAATGCTCATCCACTTGCTCAGATAGCAAAGCATCCAACCCATCCATCTACCGTGTACGCCTCTGTGCGCAGCCCTCCACCCTGAATGGTCCCCCAGCGGCCCTTCGCCGTACCCCCAATTCCCCAATCGCGGTACGACTCGCGTCTGCGAGTACCGGCCGTTCGCTCGCTCGTCTTCTCCGCTGTCCGCGAGTCGCGTCTAGATGGCGCACAGGTAAAAACAAGCGAAGAACGGTTTAACAGCTGCCTTGATACCTTGCTTAGTCGACCGTCTACTGTTTAAGAATAGAGTGACCGCGCGTGTGTAAGACTGTTTTAAATGTGCGACACGGGCACCGGCGCGCCGTCGGATTTCCACACGTGAAAAACGACCGAATCGGGTGAACGTGTGATGTAAATATGCAAGAAAACAAGGGCGAAATGTCACCGAAGCCGAACGAGATGCCTGGCGGCAACCAGCTGAACCTGATGATTCAGGAGAACCTGTTACAACGTTCCATTCAAAATGTGGCCCTTTCCCTGCAGAATGCCATGATGAATTCCCTGCAGCAAGCCGCGCTTCTGCCGGCGAACTCAGCCGCAGCAGCTGCATTGAACCTTCAGGCGTTAGAGTCGTACCTAACCTTACAAAGACTGAGTACGGTGTCGGCAAACGTTCAAAGCAACTCCGGGAGGATAGATATCCTCAAAATCGCCACGAATACCGCCAAAATCAATGAGGAAACGATCAGCAATGAAGAAGAAACCACCAACAACACCAGCCTCACTGAAGACGTGGACCTGGCCGAAGAGGTCGAAGAAGATTTGGCCCTCCTGGACAATGACGAAGCTCTCAACAACTTCCCTTTGCCCTCGTCTCCTGTGGACACGTCGTACCCCAGCCTAATAATGAACTCTGTGTACCAGAACCCCTCCAGTTCGCCTCCTGGTGTGTCATCCTCAACAACAAGCTCAACTGCGACCAGCGGCGTAACGACGACAAGGCAGAAAGGGAGCTCGAGACCCAAGAAACAGTTCATTTGCAAATTTTGCAGCAGACAATTCACCAAGAGTTATAATTTGTTGATTCACGAACGGACTCACACGGACGAAAGGCCGTATTCCTGTGATATTTGTGGAAAAGCTTTTAGGCGGCAAGATCATCTTAGGGATCACAGGTGAGAACATATAGATATAATGAAATACTTTGCATGCCATTGATTTCATAAACATGTTGCATATCTACTAAAATGGCAGACTGAATAGAAAGGGAAATCGAGTGAAGAACCGTGGAATGGTAATTTTAACGTATTGGGCATCTTTTTTCAGCTTGATTTCACCACTACTTTTAGCCTTAGCTGCTTCTAGTCAATATACGCTTTTATCAACGTTTTTGCGATTTTTTTGAATACATGAACATGGAACATAAGCAATTTACCAGAATAATACCTCGTGTATTTTGCGGCGTTTGCGCGAACATTACTTTAGCCGCCATATTTGATCCGCCATGTTGAATCTCTTAATGAGATGGAACTTCACCCACTATATCAAAGCATGATGATCGTCTCATCTTTGTTTAGTATGCCGATGGGCGCGGATACGTTAGATACGGATTACTATAGATTTTTAAGACGTTTTATATCTACTATCGGCGATCTTCAACGTTTGTAAGCGCTACCGCTTTTAAAGTCGTATGTCTTATCTAATCGTGGCAATAAGTGATACTAAAGTTAAAAAAACATTGCTTACATGATAAGATTACTTCGCTGTTAGTAATTAAAGCACAATACCTGAAGTATACAAACATATTTGTTTGTCTGTTAACTTTCCGACGGAACTTGACTTCTTACTCACTCGCTAAGCATTGCAAATGATGATTTCATTACATAGCAAGGTTTGTGTGTGCGCAGAGTAGTCATAGTGGATGTTTGATTATGCTTTTGTATGCATGGTTAAGTCGTGACTGATTCTCCTGTAGCAGAAAGTTCCTGCTTCGATTAATAGTCCAACCGATAAAAGTCCTTTATTAGAACATAGTAAAATTGGAAGAAGGATATCGATGCTCTCTTTTTCCTGACCCTACAAGGTAGCTGAAAATAGGTTTGTGTTATACCGTCCAAATCCGCTCGAAGACACATGCTATTGAGTGCAGCCGAGATCTTGCTTCCTAAATCGTTGTATTTTTTCTCACTCTATTTGAAGTGCGATTTTTATATGAAAGGAACACTAACAATGCCAGTTTTTCACCTCTACAAGATGCAATTATTATAATTTCAACATGGCGTTTCGTCTGTTGTCTTCAGTCATCAACTACATTTTCTCTTTCGTCATACTGTACTTTTACGCAGATAAATACAGTTTTTAATTCTAATTTCAAAAATGTATAATGTGTCATACATTGGCGTTGTCAAACCTAAGTTATTTTGAGGAAGCTAAAATGTATAATACAAGTATGTCAAACACTGACATCGTCAACCGTAAGTTATTTCAAGGAAACAAGTATTTCCATCGTTGGCCGTGAAAATGAATTTAGTTACTATGGAAACACCCTACCTGACACCTCAGCTGCAGATTAATAGGTATTGAAATGCAAAATGTGTCCATCGGTTTAGATATGGCTGATATGAGATGTGTTGAGGAAGGTGCAATATCGTCGAAGATTTTATTTACCCTAGAATGTTTCTATCAATTATATAAAGGAAATTTTATCACCAGGTTCTTCTTTATTCGATCAGTTACTATGGGAATATTACTTTGCAGATAGAAGTTTTATTATAACAATCCATGTATTATGTACAATATCATATCACTAAGATCGGGAATAACTGTTCACACATTAATGCTCATAGTTCATAAAACGGAAGGAATGCTTGACTGATCATATTATGATACAAACGACTATCTGATAATTTTAAGGCCTAGTTGGGAAGTCTCGTTTTTTGAAATAACTAGGGCTTGGTAGTGAAAGCATATACATCTCTCTAAACAGAATGGAAAACTATTCACCTATGGAAAAATCCAATATGGCATCTACAAGAAAAAATAGAGTTAATGACTGAGGGGTCGAGACGAAACGCCATATTGAAACTTCAATCATGAAACAAAAAAAGGTGGCAATGTTATTGTACCTTTTACTTTGACATCGCATTTCAAATAAAGTCAGGTAAGATAACGATTCGGTTTCATTCGCTTGTATCCGGAAATAATCAGAATTGCGAAACCTTCTGGGTGCTATTTTCTCAGTTACCTAAGTGCGCAACTGTGCCCGATTTAACCGGCATCGTATCTGTTACCGTTTCCGAGATTCGAATGGTGAGAATCGAATTAGAAATACCAGATAAATTATACCAGTTAGCAAGTATCAGGTAACCAAAATTTCGTGCGGTTGCTGTATATCGCACATTGCCATGGATGTTGTTGATCGATAGCGATTGTTTGTTACCTGTTGTCACTTTAGTATGAATCTTTCTTTTCTCAGACACACAAAAAGTTGCTGAAATTGTTACGTAACTAGTTTTAATAATTGAAAATGAGTATACACTTGGTACAAAAGCTGCAGCGGCGGCGCGAAAAATATGTACCGCATGAGGAGATGATGCCGTTAGTGATCGAACAGCACAGAAGTGGTTCGAAAAATTTTCTTCGGGAGATATCAGTTTGGATGAACCGCGCTCAGGGAGACCAAAAATCATGAACAACGAGGATCTTCGACAGATTGTGGACGTAAATTCTAGGACCACCATGTTCAGAGTGAGTCCTGAAACTATTCGTTTGCATCTTCATCAGCTAGGAAAGACGTGGAAGTTAAGCAAATGGTCCGACATGAACTGACAAATGATAACAAATTAATTCGTCTTACCATTTGTTCAGCAAACATTTCACGCAACGCTAATGAACCATTTCTTTATCGGTTATTAACCTGCGAATCTTGTATTCGAATTCTAAGCGTTCGTATCATTGGTTGTCACCTACTGATTCGGTACCACATACGCCCAAGGCTTCTTGCACCCAAACAAGGTCTTGTTGTGTGTTTGGTGGACAGCAACTGGAATTGTCAATTAAGAGTTTTTGGAGAGAGGTCAAACCATCACTGCTAACTTGTATTGTGAGCAGCTTCAACGAGTACAATCAGCACTCATCCAGAAAAATTGGTTCCACGTTGGCAAAAGGTCATTGAATGTGATGGTAATTACTTCGACGAATAGACAGCGTCTTATTGTTTCTCAATAAAAATTTATATTTTTCTACTAGAAACAGCACGAACTTATTTGGTTACCTGATACTAAGAAAAAACGTTTCCCAGCATTGGCTGTTGTTACTGTTTTTATGGGTAAGAAATAGCTTTCCGCCGACCGGGGTGGTACAACCCGCGCAACTGGATGTGCACATGTCAGATGCACACAACATTTCCACACTACAGACGATGAATCACCTCCACCTCTAATGTATCTGGATATCAATTAGTATTCAGGCTCAGGCTTCATGGAGAGGTTCAAAGTATGAAACCAGCAGTCTTGCTAATATTCAGCAACTATAGCAAACTACTAAAGATCACAATGTTATAGTGGTGTCGAGAGGTTCCAAGATCACCGAGAGAAATACGCAATGCCTAAGAGAGCTGACCATAACTAGGACAGGTCTCCCTGGGCTTGTGTTTATGACGACATAATAGTTCATTACATACCTAGTTTGGGAAGTAAGCCATTATTGGTCGAATGCCTTCTCTCAAACAAGGTATGTATAGAATTGTTGTTGTTGAAAGTTCCTGCACAATTGCCATCTTCATCGGAAAGTTCAAGTGCAGCTGCATGTTTGTCCGTAGATCGCCGTGGTGATCGCAACGTTGAAGCTTCACTGCATCAATGTTTTCAGGTGATCTAATGGGCCAAAGTTCTTCGTCTTGTCGCACAGTTCACAGTTTGTCCGAATGTGGTCAACTTAACAATTGATTTGCCGACATGGTTATTACGTAAAAAACCTATAAAGCGTCAAAAAACCGACAAAATGTCAACTTGCTGCCTAGTGTGCAACCAGTACATTCCGCATTTGCTCACTATGAGCGCTGTGAGCGTCATCAAAAGCGTCTATCTATGGAAGAATGACTTAACGACTTGCTCAAAGACCATCTTTCAAGCTGCAAGTTAGTTCCCCATCATGCTTTGTTGGTTGCAGAATGCCGAAATAGTCTGAGAAAACGTGTCTTTGAGTAGCAGAGGAGCAAGATCACATCTGGATGATTGTGTGTATTGGTCTGCGTGTATACATTACGATTTTCCCCGTTCTTTCTTTGCCTTTTTAAAAACTTTGAGAAGCATTACGGGAAATCAGCACCGCACTTGCGTTGTGTGTAATTAAGCCACATCACAGAAAAATTAGGAATGACGTATCAAATGCAAAACATTTTCGCATTGCCTCACATCTACGTGCTGATTCGTATTTTCTACTTAACATCATAAAATAAATTTCTATAAATTTTAAATGACTGGAAATAAAAATTAATGTGGAATGTCATAACTTTTTTACGTTTCATAAATATTCCTGTATGTACCATATTTTCGCACCTGTTAGTTTTAATATACTTCACCAACCATGGATTTTCTTTTCTTATCGCTGTCTTTTTGAAATCCAGCAAATTTGCATATGTAATTCCAGGTTTAATGCGAAAAGGCTAATTTTTAGTTATGCAGACATCTCAAGTGAGTGTATTTGAGTCAAGAAACCAATGGAATTAACACACATTATTAGCACACAAATTCTCACTATGCACCTATGCGCTGCCATTTCCTTCCATCTATAGTACACAACATACAGCTTAGACCTCTAATAATGTAATCTCTGATGTTACATTACATCAGAGCCAAACCTGGATAGCTGAAGCATCATGACGTTTATGCAACACAGCTACGGAATGAGTACAACAGCTGGTACTTAGTTCACATCTTATGGAAAAACCTACTTAATGTCACTTTTCAATTATACAGGGTGACTTCGAAGTTGAGTCATCTATTTTAACAGTGAGTAGATCTGATCAAAAGAAATGTTTTTTTCCTATAACATTTCTCTGGTAAAATTAAAGTAACAAAGTTATAGCCCTTTAGAAGTTTGAGTACCGCCCTGTCTCAATAATAATATTATGTGCTCGTGTTTGGCAACAAGCCCAGCTCTGCGTCGAGCAAAAC